GTTCCATTTAAAAAACCAAAGTTGGTAACTACCACACGTTTATGATACACCCCGTATATTGGAAAGTAATTTTAAAATGTGGACCTTGTAAACATAAAAAACTTTCGTAGGACGTATTTTCTTGTAAAGTTCATATTTACTGAGATATCGCACTTTGACGCACTAATGAGCAACCCTGTATAATGTATAGAAATGGGTTATTTAGTCGGACACGGAATTTTCTGTCTTTCAGAAATGTTGCCACAAACTGCACAAAGCTAGTTGGCAGATTGTAGAGGTTGGCCATTTTCCAGATCATTCCTTCGTGTCATACTGTGTCGAACGCTTTTGCTATGTTCAGGAGAGTAACCCCCGTGGAGGATTATTCCTGGAGTCCAAGCGTGGCGTCTCCCACCAGTCTGCCCACTTGCAATTCGGAGTCGTGGTTTCTCATGAAGCCAAATTGTTCGTGTGGGATTCTGCTGTTATGGGAGATTTTTTACAAGAGTCTTTCTTTGAAGAAATTCTCCGTAAGTTTTGAGAAAGTGGCAGAATGCTAATTGGGCGCCAGTTTTGGGGGAAAGTTTTGTTTTTGACTGGCTTTGGGATGAGAGCTATAGCAGCTGTGTTCCAGCTGCTAGGAAATTCTCGGAGTGCAAAGACACTATTTATTAACGTTAGAAGTTCAGGAGGATGTTTTCAGGGAGCATTTTGATCACCCTGTTAGAGATTTTGGGAGCGGTTTTGGATTTTAGCAGTTTTATTTGCGTTTTTAGTTCGTCTAGAGTGATTGGGGGGATAGTTTTGTCTGTTTCGGCTCCAAGTTTTCGGGGGTAATACCACGAGTGCTTTGAAATTATCGATAATTTGTCACGATCGCATGTTTTCCATAAATCCGAAGGACGAGTGAAATTTGCAAGGAAAACATGCCAGAGTGAAAAATTATATGGTTAATTTTAAGGCTCGAGTGGTATTTAGTGAGATTATTTCTCGAATTAAATATTAAAAATTAAATTTCAGAATATATTTGACATCAGTGACTTTAGTCACATCAGTTGCTATGGATGAGTGAAATAATCCAGATTGTTTCACTCATCCATATCAACGCCATAGGGCAAAAAAGGTATTAATAAACGGTAATTCGATAATTTTCAAAAAAACTTACAGCGAATATTTCCTTCGTATGATAATCTGTCCGTTTGAAGTGTGCAATTATCGAAAAATTACAGCGGTAATTGCACAGTGTGCAATTATCACTCAACGATAATTGCATTGTTTACAAAAAATATTGGACAGGTGTCTTTTCATGTTGAATTAGACATAAAATCTTCCTGACATACCTAAGATATTCAAATTATATTTAATAAACATAAATAATAAAATGAAAAGTGTAATAAAATATTAAAGAAATAAAATGAATCTACATTAACTCTGTTTACTCAGGAAATATTCATAAAAATTACACTCCTGCATCAAAATAAACAGATAATTTTGCATTCGAGCTTGTTGTCTTGTAAAAACTGCATTCGTTTATTTTCACATTGGAATGAAAAAGCCCTCCTCCTTCGGAGTCGGGCTTTTTCGCCACAATATGAAAAGAAACTCAAGCAGTTTTTAGACAACAAGCTTTCATGCAAAATTATCGGTAATTTTGAAGCACACCCCCGATAATTTTGCCAGTTTAGGTTGTTTATATCCGAAATTTGTTTTTTAATTTGGGTTGTGAGTTGATTGGCCTGGCGGTTAAGAGAATAATCAGAGTTCTTTTTTGCTAACCGCTTAAGGCGGTTTCGCAATTTAATTGTGTTTCTGTTTTCGAGTGGAAGGCCGAAAGGGTTTTTGTTTGAATTTAAAAGTGGTTGCTTTTTGAGTGGCCTTGAGTGACTTGAGTTCTTGGCTGGAATATATCGGGGTGTCTGGGATTTTTGGTTCTTGCAGGAAGTATCTGAGAACGTCCTAGTCTGTGGAAATTAGTGGTTGGAGCGGGTTTTGTATAAAGTTTTCGTTTAGGAGAATTTTGATTGGGTTGTGGTCAGAGCTGAGTGAGTCAGAATTTGTAATTGACAAATTGAGAGCAAGCTTTTTGGATAGAGCTAGGTCTGGAGTGATCTGGTGAAAGTGGGTGGGTTCGTCTGGTGCATATATTTGGATGCCTAGTTCTTCGGACATTTTTAAGAGTCTGGATCCTTTGAAATTTGAAACTTTACACCCCTTTCTGGTATGTTTGCGGTTGCAGCAAGGAGAGTGGTTAAATTCGGATGAAAAACGACTTCGTAGTCCAACGGGGTGGTTGCTTTATTGGTTATTGGGGGGTCTGTAGGCAGAGATCATCTGGACTGAAGTGTTGAACATCTCGAGCTTAGTGGCTGTGTTTTCAATTATTGTATTGAAAGGAGGAATTTGTGTGTGAGCTACGGACTTTTTGATTATTATGGCTGTGCCACCGCCGTGAGTGTCTTTGTCTGTACGGTAAGTGATGTACTTGTTTATGTGGAAGTGGATGTTGAATTTAAGGAAGGTTTCTTGGATGAGAGCAATGTCTACATCGTTGTCCTTTCGGTATGCCTCAAATTCGCACTTTTTGGAGTACAAAGATGCGGTATTCCAGGAGACGATATGGACACGTTGGGGTTTTATGCTACCGCCCAGCATAACATTTTGAGGACTGGATCTTGGGAAATTGGGGTTGCAAGAATGCTCGAACTTATGGCTTTTTACATTGAGGAATGTGTTTTAGGTTTAGGGCGTTAGAGTTTCTTTGGGGCTCGATCAATACTGGGAGGTTTAAGAGGTGTTTTATGTTCTGGAAGTCTGCTTGTGGGATTGTGGGAGGAGTACTTTTACCATGTTGGAAACTTTTTTGAAGTTCCCAAGGCGGAAAATAAATTCATGCACACTTTTTGGTCAATTATATCAATTTGCTTACTATCTGAGCTAATGCTGCTGAACAAATGCGACCCAACTAGTTCCCGCCTTAATCGCGTCAACCTCTGAGCTGGATCTTCCCCAAGAAGCCAATAAGTGTACATTTCTCCTTTTCCCTGCAACAATTTAAAAGATGCCATAGAAAACCGATGTTTTGCATTGGAACATCACCAACTTTAATGTTAATTAATCCTCTGTCTTCACAAATATAGCCGCTAAGCTGTTGCAAAAGTTTATAAGTGGCCGGCGATATGTGCACTTTGGAAGCTTCGCCAGAACTTTCCATTCGAGAAGCTGTGTTAACCGTGTCTCCGAAAAGGCAATATCTGGGCATTTTTAAGCCTACAACTCCAGCTACCACATGACCTAAAGAGTCCGGGTTTGAATCGATTTAACTGGTTGTTGTTGATGTTGGTTTCACCTGAGTGGATTCCTATCCTCAATTTGAAGACTTCTCCGGGTCGATGTTTGATTTCAAACTTTTGTATTCTCTTGAGCAAATGTAGAGCCATCGAAGCAATTTCGCCTGCATGTCTGTTGCCGTTTTTAATAGGCAGTCCGCTTACTACCATGTAGGCGTCGCCAATGGTTTCAACCTGCAAAGCCAAAATGTTTAGGATTTTTCTAAAGCAACGAATAAACTCGACTTACTTTATAGACATCGTAATGCGAGATAATAGAGTCGAAAAGAGTATAGAGATCATTGAGCAAATCTATCACTTGTAAAGGGGTGCTATCCGCTGAAAGTTCCGTGAATCCCACAATATCACTGAAGTAAATTGTGACACATTCAAAGGACTCTGCCTCGACTTTTTCGCCCTTCTTCAAGGCGTCTGCTACTGACCTAAATTTGAGTGGGTCCCATTTACAAATTTAAGCAATAAATTAGCTACAACCTTGGCAACATTCTGTAAAGTAAAGCATCAGTCTTTTTCTTTTCTTCAGTGAGTTGATTGGTCCGCTCTTGTACTAAGCCTTCTAAATTGTAGGCGTATTTTTCCATAATTGAAAGCATGTTATCGAAAATGTTTGGTTTTAAACCTGCCTGCAATCAAACATTAGATAACCAAATAACTAGTATTTCCAAAAAATTAATTGTATAATAAAATGCAAGTTTCGAGTGTTCGGCAATTCCAAGTACGTTTGATATTCTGATTAATCAGATGCATTTATAATTTATGGTGTATATTTTCCTGACTGTGTTTCAACTTAATTCAAAAGAAATTGCTGGGTTTCAGTCAATTTTATTGTTGTACCATTTAAAATGTCACAAAAACGTTTCGGTGTTTTTCTCCACCATCATCAGTTTGTCTAAAATATACATTCACAGTCGTTATTAGTTTAAAAGAAAAACTCTGATATACGTACTATTATTATACTTTATTAATTAATTTAAGTATTAGATTAAATATACGTACTAAAATACAAATTATAAACATATTAAAAAGTATATTAAAATCGTTTGAATCTTTTGGGATTACAGGTGATAAGTCAGGATACTTTTTAATATGTGTGTAATTTGTATTTAAGTATGTATATTTAACAGAGCTCTTTCTTTAAACTAATAACGACTGCGAATGTATATTTTAGACAAACTGATAATGGTGGAGAAAACACCTAAACGTTTTTGTGACATTTTAAATGGTAAACAATACATTTGACTGGAACCCAGGAATTTCTTTTGAATTTATAATTTATATAATCGATTTACGGCAACTTTCGTTCTCCGGCTTTTGTTAGTTTCTATCGCACCTGCATTTCTTTTAATCGCACTCTAACGTATCTAATGTCAGGCCGCTGATCCGGTTGTTCATGCCAACAAGCCGTGAAAGTATTCACAATATACTTGGGTATTCGTAAACCATCCAGAGATGGTCTTAGCGGCTTTTGGCCAGTCTTGTAACCTTTTAGTTGATTTATAATTGCTGCAATTAAAACATCTGTGTTAAATATCAGGTTTATCTAATGCGGAAAACGTGCTAAACATTTTCTGAAGAGTTTCCCATTTGTAATTTTAAATGAAGACGTTTAAAATTTGCCTCTGTGTTCAGTAATTTTGCAAACGATGATAAAATTTAGGTATTTATCGAAAATACATGTGAGTAATTGTACCTGTTGGTTCCATTTCAATGTTTCCCCAAGGTCCTGATCGACCAATCATTTCGTACAATACGATTCCAAAAGAATACACATCACCCTTTTGCGTTCCTCTGGGTGGCCGATTGTCCATTCTCAATAGTTCAGGCGCTCTCCATAAGCTTCTTTTTAGCTCTTTAACGTGGTAGGTTGGATCATCTTGACCACCTAAGTTTCATAAGAAATATTAGTTAATTATCCCAAATTGACTTTGTGTACTATGAGAAGAATGTTTTCTTTTTGAAAATATGGTTATCTAATTAATATCTAGTAAAATTATTTCTGTTCAGGTTGTGACAAACGTTTAAATTCTAACATTGCTAATTTTTGATTTCCAATCATTTTCCCGTTCGATGCAGGGTTTTTAATTCGATAGACCTGGAAATGTCTTAAGTTGATTTAAATTTTCAGTAAAGAAATGAAAACAAAAATGAATTGAAAAATATTAAATTCTATTTAATTACATGCAATTGAATTATTTGAACAACGTGTAAAACGTAAAAATAACTGGATAATATCTTTGTTAAATATACGATTAGAACATTTGTCATTTCAGGTGAAAATAATTCATTTGATTTTTACCCTTATTAAGATAAGCCGAATTTTTTACAGTCTTTTTTATTAAAGTTATGATATTTAAACTTATAAAATTAGTCTGATTTATTTTCCTGACTGCGTGTACTTGTTATGATATTCTTATCCTTCCTGTGTTTCAGTCAAAGTGTGAAATAAAAATTTTGAAACATCGTTCATTTCATTACGTTTGGGCGAGACAACAGCGCCATCATCAGATTTAAAAATTACACAAACTACAAACACCAATTCACAATTTAAACATGTTGTATACAAATTATAATTTACAAAGTGTTAGAACATTCATCAGTTTTTGAGGGAAAAAGAATTCTTCCTTTTGGGAGAGCAAGAGGTAAGTTTTTCCGGTGTTTTGCTCTCCCAGAAGGAATAATTTTTTTCTCTCGAAAACTGATTAATGTTTTAACACTTTGTAAATTATAATTTTTATACAACATGTTTTTATTGTAAATTGGTGTTTGTAGTTTGAGTAAATTTTAAATCTGATGATGGCGCAGTTGTCTCGCCGAAACGTAATGAATAAACGATGTTTCAAAATTTTTACTTCACATCTTGACTAAGACCCAGGAAGGATAAGAATATCATAAACATTATAAAATTAGCCTTAGCAATTTCCATAACCGGAGGAGTCTGCAAATTTTAATAAAATCACATGTATATAAAATTAGTCAAATAAATAATCAAACCTAATACATCTTTTGGATCCTTCAGTGACCAGTTTGTTTATAAAATTATTCTTTTAAACCAAAATTGACCTCTAAAATCGTATTTTTTACAACTTACCTACTTTGTATCTTTGCATTCAAGTTTTTTAGTGTTCAACTGGCTAATTTTGATTTTACAAACACTTACTTTTAAATTCATGCAATCCAAAGTCGGAAATTTGCAACACCCATCTACTATCGATTAAACAATTGCTGGAACGAAGATCACCATGAGATATGATTTCGCTATCATGCAGATATATCATGCCCTAAAATGTACTAAACATAACAATCTGAAGGAACTATTGAGTTCAGTCATATGGGACACGTACTTTCTATTCTTATTATACCGGATGTATTATTTTAAATCTTTTTTGGACAATAAAATGTCAACAATTTTAAACTTTTGATTTTTTTTTGTCGCAGTTCTTTACAGACATGGATGCCAATCGGAGTATTGGTAAGTAATTTTTACATAAACTTGCTTTTGTTCGGAAAAACCATACCTTTAAAATATCTGTGACTAATGAAGAGACAAACATTGTGTCCAGATGCAAATCTTCATTAACCAGCACATCTTCTAAGCTACCTCTAGCGGCATAAGCTGTCAAGATAGCTACTTGCCCATGATCCACGCTCGCCCCAACAAAGGGGATTAAATTTTCGTGCCTTATTTCGCGTATCTGTAAAATAGACGGAAATGGCAAATTAAAATTAAAAAGTTTTAAAAATTCCCCGTGAACATTAATTAAATTAATGTTACAAAGAAAAAATGTCTGCTACTGGTAAACTACGTAAATGTTTTATTAATGTTATTCAGAAGACTTGAAAGTTGTCTGCGGGGACGCAATATAATTTAAAGCAAACTAAACTTTTCCTATGGTCTCTGTCTATTTAAAGGCGTTTGGAAGCGAAAGCATCTATCTATTAATTTCCCACTTTTTATTGAGTTAATGATTGGCTTTAAAGTGGCATAAAGTAAGAAAGAGCGGAAAGAAGTTCGAATTCAAAGAAAAAGTACATTTAGAATATCCACTGTTTTGTTTAAAAAACGAATTTTAATGTTAATTTGATAATTATATGTATTTAGAATTGGCATAAGCTTAAAATGTACTTAATACATAAAACGATAAAATACGGGACGTACTTGCTTTAGCTCTTTCCTTATGGATCTGGTGAGATCTAATGTACGCTTATGAAGGTACTTTATGGCAACAATGTTCCCTCTGTAGAGTCCAATGTTAGTATACGCCCTTTTTGGTGATATGTCAGAAACTTCATTCATTCCTCTACTTGTTTCAGTCTTAAACACGTTGTGTTTGCAAACGGTTACCTAAATAAAATAAAATAATGCATATAACATTCTGCCAAAGTTTAGTATAGTTTATTAAAAAAATTCTAATTTGTAGGCAAAAACATTTGATGTGTTTTCTATATAGCTTTGTACACAATTGTTTAAGAAACACTTCCCAAATTTATTGAGCCATGGAGTATTAATTTCCTGGACGAAAGAATAAAAACTTTCTAATTAAGTTCGGAAAAAAAGTTTTTGGAGCTTGATATTGATTAAAATGGGCAGAAGCACGCGCTTGTTGGAGGGGAAAGTAAATAAAGTTGCAATTTTAGACAAGGTAATTATGAACCCCCCAATAAGAAATTCTGAGAGTAAATACTCGTTTTATGTTACGAAACGATGTATGTTTTTATTATATA